GACTTTATCATTTTTTAACATCTGTATAGTGTTCTCTAATATGGATTGCCACAATTTGACCATTAGTGGACATAATAGTTACATCTTTATTTACCTAAGAGATAAACTGCTGGTCAGGGAATACATGTATATTTTCCTTTATTAAGAAACAAAACTGTGAAATCTTTTTACAAAGTGATTATACAATTTTACATTCCCACCACAACAACGTATTAGAGTTCCAGTTGCTCCTATATTCCTAATATTTGGTTGTCAGTCTTTTAAATTTTTTGCCATCCTGGTAGATGTAAAGTGGTATCTTCATTGTGGTTTCAAATTTTCATTTCCCATGTGGAAAAATTTTTTTCATATATTTATTGATTATTATAAGTCTTTGAGAAATGTCTGTTCAAATCTTTTGTCCATTTTAAAATTAGGTTTTCATTGTTGGTTTGTAGGAATTCTTCATATATTCTGCATACAAGTCTTTTTGTCATGTATGAAAGAAAGAAAAAAAGTTGATATTTATCTCTGCATAATGAGATTGTGAATTTTTTTCTTTTAACTTTTATACAATAAACAAGATTGATAAAAATAATTACTTATAAAAAGCATTCCAAATTAAACACCTTTAATTCAGAACCTCTATTATTTCTGGGATTTCCTATGACTCCTGGATATCCCTTTTATAAGATCATTTGCATATACCGTATCTCGGTCATCAAAAAGTGGGATCAACCAAAGATAAATCTGAGAACAGATTACAAGAAGTCTCACAGTAGCCAAGTGAAAAAAGAGATATACAAAATGGAATATCCTTACCACCTACTTAGGCTTTTAAATCTGCTGTACTGGTGGTTAGGACCTGAAGGAGTCTTCTTTTGCATACAAGTTTATTTTTTTTCTTTTTCCTTGGAAGAAAATGAAGCGTATGGTGTAGGGCTGAAGGCATGGTGTTGTCTCAGCCAGTCCTAAGGCCTATGGAGAAAGGAGCTGAAGGACAAAGCAGAAACCTTCACAAGGTGATCCATGAGACATAATGGCACAAACAGCACTGATTTAGTGCTCATATGACATGGTAACTGCTAAGTGCAGTCTCCATTCTTCTGGGAACATGACTTTGACTAAAGGAGGACTCAAAAGAATGCAGTGTTGTTTTCGCAGCTCAAGAGTCTGCAGCTTGAGAGAACTGGGAAACATGTAGAAAATATACATGTATTCCCTGACCAGCAGTTTATCTCTTAGGTAAATAAAGATGTAACTATTATGTCCACTAATGGTCAAATTGTGGCAATCCATATTAGAGAACACTATACAGATGTTAAAAAATGATAAAGATCTATGTCTATTAAACATCTCTAAGATGTTTAGTGAAGTGGGGTGGGAAAAACAAATTGGTGATCAGTTTATATAGAATGATGCCATATACATGAAGAAGACACTGTGGTTAACTAATTGTGGTTGATTCCGTCGCAGTTGATTAAGTCAGTTAGTACAAGACACTCTTCCACTGACAGCCATGTTGTTTTACATTTTACAATCATACGCCTTAGGACGAGGATGACAAAGTGGAGAGACATAAAGACACTGAGCTCTGGATGACCACCAGTCACTGATTATACCATCCCTTGAGTCCCCTCTACTTCTGGGTTTCTAAATATGTGAAATAATATTTTTTCTTAGCATATGCCAAAAGCATCTGAACTGGATGGTTGAAAGCGAGAAAGCCTAAAAAGATAAAAACCAAAATGTTGGCCAGGTGCGGTGGCTCACGTCTGTAATCCTAGCACTTTGGGAGGCGCAGGCGGGCAGATTGCCTGAGCTCAGGAGTTCAAGACCAGCCTCGGCAACACGGTGAAACTCCATCTCTACTAAAATACAAAAAAATTAGCAGGGCATGGTGGCGTGCACCTGTAGTCCCAGCTACTTAGGAGGCTGAGGCAGGAGAATTGCTTGAACCCAGGAAGTGGAGGTTGCAGTGAGCTGAGATCATGCCACTGCACTCCAGCCTGGGCAACAGAGCGAGACTCTGTCTCTTAAAAAAAAAAAAAAAAAAGAAAGAAAAAAAGTTGATATTTATCTCTGCATAATGAGATTGTGAATTTTTTTCTTTTAACTTTTATACAATAAACAAGATTGATAAAAATAATTACTTATAAAAAGCATTCCAAATTAAACACCTTTAATTCAGAACCTCTATTATTTCTGGGATTTCCTATGACTCCTGGATATCCCTTTTATAAGATCATTTGCATATACCGTATCTCGGTCATCAAAAAGTGGGATCAACCAAAGATAAATCTGAGAACAGATTACAAGAAGTCTCACAGTAGCCAAGTGAAAAAAGAGATATACAAAATGGAATATCCTTACCACCTACTTAGGCTTTTAAATCTGCTGTACTGGTGGTTAGGACCTGAAGGAGTCTTCTTTTGCATACAAGTTTATTTTTTTTCTTTTTCCTTGGAAGAAAATGAAGCGTATGGTGTAGGGCTGAAGGCATGGTGTTGTCTCAGCCAGTCCTAAGGCCTATGGAGAAAGGAGCTGAAGGACAAAGCAGAAACCTTCACAAGGTGATCCATGAGACATAATGGCACAAACAGCACTGATTTAGTGCTCATATGACATGGTAACTGCTAAGTGCAGTCTCCATTCTTCTGGGAACATGACTTTGACTAAAGGAGGACTCAAAAGAATGCAGTGTTGTTTTCGCAGCTCAAGAGTCTGCAGCTTGAGAGAACTGGGAAACATGTATTTGTTATGCACAGACATCTGAGTTCTCTTGGGACAGTGACAGCCACCACTTTCAAGTAGTTTTTTGAACAACAGACATCAACAAGGATAGTAGGAGATTGTGATAACGGAAAGATGAATATATAATTTTCTAGTCTACTTGACAAAAAGATAGTTGCGAAATCTGTCACTGAATAACAAGTCAAGAAGAAGTGCCTATATCAGGAATCCATGTTGATGTTTAAGTCCATTACCGATGAAATTGCTTAATATAGAATACTCAGAAAATCTTGAAATGCTTCATTTCAAGTGAAAATCTTCGACTTAAACAACCCTAGCTCTAGAGTAGCTTTTTTGCAATGACGATATTGCCAGACATAAAACATTTACGCAGTAGACGTATATCACATTATTTACATTTAAGGAATATGTGGATAAGAACTTTGCATTGTTCAACTATCCATTCATTCGTCTCTCCATATGTCCATTGATCTCTGTCCATTTAATCTATAGACATTTAACTGAATGCTCACCCTGTTTCGAATACAATCTAAAGAACAATTTTAGTGGAACAGTGCATATGGGTATCAGAAGTGGGTTACATCTGATTCTCAAAACACAGCTCTCAGTAAGAGTATTCTAATAAACTGCAAACTTGACCCTTATATACAAGTTCTTTCTCCAGTTATAATGATAGGGTTTCATGGTTCTCTACAATAAGGACTAGTTATTAATAAATAAAGAAGAGCGTAAGCAGAAATTAATAAAATCTCTGTTTTCTTAACTGAGAAGTCTGGATGTCTTGCAACTTTTGAAAATCAGCATACACAGGCCGGGTGTGGTGGCTCACGCCTGTAATCCCAGCACTTTGGGAGGCCGAGGCAGGCGGATCACGAGGTCAGGAGATCAAGACCATCCTGGCTAACCTGGTGAAACCTCGTCTCTACTAAAAATACAAAAAAAAAAAAAAAAAAAAAGAAAATCAGCATACACAAAGGCAAATAGCTGAAATTCCTAATGTTTCAGAATGGGAGTTATTTTATTAGTTCATTAATTTTGACTTAAATTGGTTAAGGCTTTCAACTAATGAGAAGATTTTAAATAAAACATTTAAAATTTTAATCATAATTTGCTTATCTTTATTACCAATTTATTTGGTTGTGTGTGATTCATTTAACTCTACAATACAGTGATACACATTTGCATCAATATGGTAGACCGTGTTTCTTCTGTAGCTAGATTTGACCCCTATTGATTATGTCAAATACACTTCTGTTGTTAAAGGAGATGTACACATAATCTCTAAAATATTTGTGCAGTAATACTTGTTTGTCACCAAATTCTTGGTCCATTAAAAAAATACAAATAACTAGGGTAGTTAAGCTGTGAAGTCATTTTTCCCCCATCAAATAGGTCATGGTCAGAAAGACCTGAGAGTAGTGCAGATGACGTTTAAGAAATTTGATCCTAAAAAGAAGGAAAGCTGGTAGCTAAAAGAGAAGTGGCAGGGGTAGGGGGGCGTCTAATATCTTTACTGGCCGGGCGCGGTGACTCACACCTGTAATCCCAGCACTTTGGGAGGCCAAGGCGGGTGGATCACGAGGTCAGGATATCAAGACCATCCTGGCTAACATGGTGAAACTGCGTCTCTACTAAAAATACAAAAAAATAAAAAATTAGCCGGGCGTGGTAGCGGGCACCTGTAGTCCCAGCCACTCGAGAGGCTGAGGCAGAATGGCCTGAACCCGGGAGGCGGAGATTGCAGTGAGCCGAGATCGGGCCACTGCACTCCAACCTGGGCGACTGAAGAAGACTCCATCTCCAATAAATAAATAAATAAAATACAATAAAATCTTTGCTTTGGGGAGTTAAATCTTATAAATATGTTCAGGTTTATCTTGACAGCCATTATCAAGCAAAGAGGCTGAAGGGAAAGGAAGAATAAAAGGTAGAGTAAGATTCCCAGAGGTGGGATAGAATGGTATCAAGGGCTCAGGAGAAAGAGAACTGTGTTATAAAATAGGTATAAAATCAGTAATGAGCAAAAAGCAATCATGAAACTACTCAATATAATAATTCAGAAAAAGGTATGAATGAAATGTCATAAGTTGTATCACAGTGTGACAATATTCATTATTACTTCCAATGAACCCTTAGTGAAACCTTACCCCACACAAAACACTACATTTTAGCCTATATCTATCAATGAATAATTTGAAAATATGCAATAAAATTTTCCTGTTTTATTTTGAAGTCATTTTCAAATAATGTTTCACTTTTTTTTCCAGATTGGACTCCTTCTTGTCCTGAGCCAGTGTATATCCCAACGGGCTTAGAAACGGAACCCCTTTATCCAGACTCCAAGGAAGATACTGTGGTTTATCTAGCTGAAGATGGTGAGCACATAATGACACATGTTGCTGTAAAATATAATTTGGTACTTAGGTTAATCTCTGAGTTATATTTGTTTTGCTGTTTGTAGTGGAAATTTCAGATGACCAGTCCCTAAACATAAAGATGTTTGTTTACATATTGATCCAAGTGTGGATTTAGTGCCATTTATATCTTTGAAGGCGTATTGCAGTTTATGCAAAGTTACTTTAAAATTAAACATCATGTTTGCCATTAGAATGAAGAGTTATATTTAGAATGAATTTTGCTTCATATCAATTTTGAAAGATAAACGCAGTGAAGCGCTTTGCAACTATTATTCCCTCTAGTACAGCTCACATTCATGCATTCATTCAGATGTTTTTCTTTTAATTTCCTGACTCTGATGCATTTCTTGGCGTTACAATCTTTAAAAGTGAAACAATTACCCTACATTGCAAAAAAATATCTAAGATTGGCCGGGCGCGGTGGCTCAAGCCTGTAATCCCAGCACTTTGGGAGGCCGAGACGGGCGGATCACGAGGTCAGGAGATCAAGACCATCCTGGCTGACACGGTGAAACCCCGTCTCTACTAAAAAATACAAAAAACTAGCCGGGCGAGGTGGCGGGCGCCTGTAGTCCCAGCTACTCCGGAGGCTGAGGCAGGAGAATGGCGTGAACCCGGGAGGCGGAGCTTGCAGTGAGCTGAGATCCGGCCACTGCAGTCCAGCCTGGGCGGCAGAGCGAGACTCCGTCTCAAAAAAAAAAAAAAAAAAAAAAATCTAAGATTGTATCTCAGGAAAGTGTTAACACTCAAGATCCATATTTGTACTTTGAAAACTCTATTAATGCAAAATATTTTGTTTGCTTTCATGATACAGTATGCTAATAATCAAACATAGAAGTCTCAGAGTATGTTCTCAACTATACTGCTCCTGAAGCACCAGTGTAAGGAAGTATAGACTCCTCATAATTTCACCAACACAGTTTAATATCTTAGAGTATTTTTGTATATTAAAGATAACTTCTAGGGAGCATATATATTTTATTTAAGGGGCTAGCAAGACAAAGAGAAATTCACAGAGACTATTTACTGTACAGTAAGCAAATTCTACAAATCATATACTCACAAACAACTCACAAAAATATACTCACAATATTTTTAAACAACTGGAGAGGAATACCTATGATTTTTCCAATTTGATTGTGAATATTTACATGGCAAACATGCCTCAGAACTGCCATACATAACTGAAATGAGATCTGATTTAAAAAACTAAAATAATTGAGATGAATCAGTCAGGGTCTTCTCAGGAATTAGATAGCATACTCAGAGTAATTTAAGAAAGTTTAATGAAATTTAACTTAATGAATTTTTAAAAGGGTAGACAGAGTTAATGGAGATTAACAAGGGATGGTGGGAAGCAACACAGGACTATCAACAGAGCAGAACCATGACTGCTAGGCCTGAAAGGGTGAGAAGACAGAATGGTCTCCAGACCTGTAGAATCCTTTAGGTATAGGAGAGGGTAGCCTCGAAACAATTGTGGCTTTCAGTAAAGAAACAGACAACTGCCAATCTGTGGCACTGAAGGGAAAATGCTAGGGGGATAAATAACCCAATTTCAGTCTCCTCCCAACTTCCCATGTTCTACCAGTTGTCCACAGCCAAAGGGCAAGAGAACCTCTGAGGCAGTCAATACAGATCAACCTCTTTGGAAACGTATAATGTGCAGAAGAGTAGAGGATAGATCTGTAGGTAGAATCAGAGAATATCCATCACAATCAACCCCACTTAATCCTATTTTTATGCCATATTTGGGAGTTGTGAAGATCTGCCTGTCCATAAATTGAAAGGAAAGCTATAGAAACAAGGTTTGAGGATGAAAAAAGTCTTGACTTACTTGATTTTCATTGAACATGTGAAAGATTAATTGTAAATACTTACCTTTTTCCATTTTCCCAAATGACAAAAAAGAAGAGTAGAAAAGACAAATTTCAGTAGGTAAGATGTAATTTAAATGTCAATGAAAATTAAATGTTCTTATAAAGTTAAAACCCTAGGACAGGATACTGAAGAATGTGGCATACTATGAGACATGATTAATTTTTATTTTGGATAAATTGAGGTAAAATGTAAATAGAATGAAATGTATAGATGATAAGTACACAATTTGGTGAGTTTTGAAAAATATATCATCTGTGTAACCAACACTCCTATCAAGATGTGGAACACTTCCATCACCCCAGAAAGTTCCCATCTCTCCCATTCTGGTCAGTCCCCAGCTCCAGCCCCAGGCAAACACTGGTCTGATTTCTGTCACCATAGATTAGTTTTGCCTGACTTTTAGCTTCATATAAATGCAGTCATACAGTAAGTACACTGCTAGGTCTGAATTCTTTGACTTGGAATTATGTTTTCAGATTTATACATGTTAGCAGATTCTTTTATATTGCCAAATGGTACCCCATCATATAACTATTCCACAAATTGCCTTTTTATGATTGATATGTATTCAAGATATAAATGCTGTATCATATATATATAGGATATAGTGAAATTTTCACTTTCATCTGTGGAAGTCCTTTTCACTTTCATAACAATATCTTTTGATGAGTAGAACTTTTAAACTATTATGAAGTCAATTACCAATTGTTTTTCTTTCAAATTTAGTGCGTTTTACATCCTTTCTATCTATAAACTTTGCTTTTCCCAAGATCACCTATTGTTTTTGAAGAAACTTTATTCTTTTCACTTTTTTTTACCTTTGACTTTGATTCATCTAGAATCATTTTTTGTGAATGGTTTGGGATAAGGGTCAAGGTTCATTTTTTCCCACCTTTTAACAAAATTGATTCATCACCAGCTATTGAAAAGACTATCCTATCACCTACTGAATTGCCCTGCCACCTTTATTAAATGTCAGTTAACAATATATATGTAGGTCTATTTCTAGACACTTCATTCTGTTCCATTGATATATTGATACTTATGCCAGTACCACCATATTGATATTGTAGCTTTATCCATGGCAATCTACTTTGATAGTCAATCTTTCTTTTATCACTATTTGTATAGTGCATATATATTTTTCCATCATTTTACTTTTAACCTATGTTTTATATTTAATTTGTTTTATTTTGGGAGATATACAGCATATCATTGGGATTTGCTTTTTTTTTTTTTTTTAAGTTCTGGAATACATGTTCAGAATATGCAGGTTTGTTACATAGGTATCTGTGTGCCATGGTGGTTTGCTGGACCTATCAACCAGTCACCTAGGTTTTAAGCTCCACATGCATTAGCTGTTTGTCCTGATGCTCTCCCTCCCCTCGCCCTAGCCCTGACAGGCTTCGGTATGTGTTGTTCCTCTCCCTGTGTCCATGTGTTCTCATTGTTCAGCTCCCATTTATGAATGAGAACATGTGGTGTTTGGTTTTCTGTTCCTGTGTTAGTTTGCTGAAGATGATGGCGTCTAGCTTCATCCATGTCCCTGCAAATGACATGATCTCATTCCTTTTTGTGGCTGCATAGTATTCCATGGTGTATTTGTACCACATTTTATTTATCTAGTCTATCACTGATGGACAGTTGGGTTGGTTCCATGTCTTTACCATTGTGAATAGTGCTGCAATAAACATACATGTGCATGTATCTTCATAATAGAATGATTTCTATTCCTTTGGGTATATACCCAGTAATGGGATTGCTGGGTCAGATGGTATTTCTGGTTCTAGATCTTTGAGGAATCGCCACACTTTCTTCCACAGTGGTTGAACTAATTTATATTTCCACCAACAATGTAAAAGTGTTTCTATTCTCCACAGCCTCACCAGCATCTGTTGGTTCTTGACTTTTTAATAATCACCATTCTGACTGGTGTGAGATGGTATCTCATTGTGGTTTTGATTTGTATTTCTCCAATGACCAGTGATGATGAGCTTTTCTTCATATGTTTTTTGGCCACATAAATGTCTTCTTTTGAGAAGTGTCTGTTCATATCCTTTGCTCACTTTTTGATGGTTTTTTTTTCCTTGTAAACTTGTTTACGTTCTTGTAAATTCTGGATATTAGACCTTTGTCAGATGGGTAAATTGCAAAAATTTTCTCCCATTCTGTAGGTTGCCTGTTTGCTCTTATGACAGTTTCCTTGCTATGCAGATGCTTTTTAGTTTAATTAGATCCCATTTGTCAATTTTAGCTTTTGTCGCAATTGCTTTTGGTGATTTCATTATAAAATCTTTGTCCATGCCTATGTTCTTAATGGTGTTGCCTAGGTTTTCTTCTAGAGTTTTTATGGTTGGATTTGCTTTTTATATAAACTGAAAATCTGTCCTTTAATTATTATGTTTAATATATAATTATTGTTGTTGGATTAATAGCTACCATCTTACTAGCTTTGTTTTATTCCATATGTTATTTCTTTTTAATTCTTTGTCTGCCTTCATTGACATTAATTTGACTGTATTTTATTATTCCATTTTATCTCCACTATTGGCTTATCATGTATACCTGTTTTTAAACTTTTGCCCTAGGTTTCTTTTTTTTTTTGGTATACATCTTTAATTTAGAAGACTATCTTCAAATTATGTTATACCACTTCACATACAGTGTGAGCACCTTACAAAAGTATATCCTCAATTCCTTTTTCCCTTTCTTTGTGCTATGGTTTTCAAATGTTTTACTTTTTCATGTGCTATAGAAACTCAATGAAGAAGGAGACAAGATGGCTGACTAGACAGTCAGGAAGCAGCACTCCCTGAGAGAGACCAAAATATCAAGTATATCAATATGCTTTGAACAGATCCTCAGAGAGAAAACACTGAGGGTTGATAGAGAGGTGGTGCAGACACCAAGGCTGAAGAGGAAGCTAGGAACCCTGCATGGGGTTGCTGAATGCCAGGGCTAGTTCCCACCCTTGAATGGTCCTAGGGAAGAGGCAAGTGAAGGGATGGTGGGGCAGCCTGCTTTTGCTGCAGATTACTGGGATCCTAGCTACAAGAGATTTCATGACCCCCATAGAT